ACATACAATAATAAAGACACAATTAAAGGAAGCTCAAGAAAATCAAAAGATTAATATAAATATCTATTGCAAGGAATTACCACAATTCAATGTGTGTGACAAGGTATCACTACTTTGTCACAATATTAAGACTATTTGTCTTTGTGATAAGTTACACTATCGTAAGCTTAGACTTTTTTTTATTTGTGAATAAGTCAATCCTATTGCTTATTGATTACATCTATTGGAATCTATGAAGATCCATCTCATATTTTATATATCTCTTCTTTAGCCATATAAGACAATGAATATCTGGAGGAAAAGACAAATACCACGTCCTTTTATAGAAGTGAATAATAATCAAGAATTTGAGATAGAAGAAGTCTTAGATTTTAAGTGGTGCCGAAATAGATTAGAATGTCTTATTCATTAGTGCAGATATAATATTAATAAATATACATGAGAGCCATCAAAGAATCTTACAAATATAGCAAAGAAGGTTGAGGCTTTTCATAGATGACATCCATCAAATCTAAGTTAAAAAATAACAAATCTTTGCTATAAAATAAATAAGATCCAAGAAAGATAGAATTCTACTTTTTATTTTTATTTATAATTTTTGTGTATTTGTGACATTGTTATATTTTGTGTATTTTTACTTGAGAATGCATCAAATACCTAGTTGTAGAAGATAAGTAAAAATACAACAACAATTCTACATAGTCTAATAAATTCTTTAATAAACTTGAAGTCATCTTTAATAAATCCAATCAAATTTCAACCTATTGAAATAAATTTAAAAGAAGTCACAAAAGAAATACAAAGAAGTCATGATTTAATCTCAAAAAAAATAACAAGAAAACTTTAAAAAAATATAAAAATAAACTTTTAAAGAAATAATAATAATTTTAAAGAAATATTATAAATAAAAACTTTAAAGAAATAAAAAAAAGAATCTTTTAAAATACTAAAAATAGATATTTTAATATAATTTTAATTAAAATTGTATTTGAATTTTAATCAAACTTTAGATCAAATCCTAATGAAATCCTAATAAAATCCTAAATCCTAAAAAATCTCAAATAAGTTCTAAATTAAATCTTAAGAAAATCTTAATCTTAACCAAATTCCAAATCAAATCCTAATCAAATCCTAGATCTTAAACAAACTCTTAATAAATCCTATAACAAAATAGAACCTCAATAACTAATAATCACATCATTAATATCAACTCAAAATTTACATACTTTTTAACATCTTATTTAGAAATAAGCACAAGAAAGATGAAATTGATCGTACTTACCAATTGAAATAAATGTAAGATAATCCAATTGAATATTGGATAACCTCTTATTCCAATTTGAATATTGAACTTCTAATGCTAATATTTCTTTTTTGAATTATTGTATTGCTCTCAAATTTCATCCAAACATTGAAAATTGAGACTAAAGTTGATATAAAAAAATTCATTTTAATCCAATAGATAGATTTCTAAAAAACTTAGAAATACTCATTGACCCTCAAATTCTAATCTTTAAGACCTCAATCCACAAAAATCCTCATATACTTCAATCTATTTGTTTAATTGACCTCAAAATTTGCATACATATATACAACTAGCACACCAACAAACTATCTAAAATCTACTTGTATATTCATCATAAAATTCAAAAAATCCTAAAATTTTTAAACATGTTTTTATTTCTTAAATCCTAATTTCACCAAAAACATCATTAATTTTGAAAATCCATCAAAATCTCAATATTAATTCAAATGACATAATATTAATTTTTAAATTATTTTTTTTAATTTTATTCTCAATTTCCACTCTTCAATCTACAAAAAAATCCTTGGATTTATTGTAAGTATATGGTTTTGTCTCTTAGAATCCAATTTCAACCTAGAAAGACAACTAGTCCTCAGTGGATATCAATTCTTAGCTTCTTAAAGTAAATTTAGCTAAAATCTACTCTCAACTTTCTCCTACACATGCCTACATCATTTAATTTTTCCATCTACTTTATTTTACCTTGTTTATGGCCCTACAAAGTAGATAGAAGTCCATTTTGTAAAAAAGATAGTATTAGCATTTTTTAGTTTTATTATCTATTTGACTATTATTTATATTTTTAAGATAATTTGCTACAATATTTTAAAATAAGATCTTTTGTAATATAATATTTTCTTTTTTCTTTCATTAATTAGTCGTATCACATTGTGACAACACTAAAGAGATAGAGAAGTAATAACTAGTAGATTCAACTCAAGAGCTATCACTTGCTCATTTATTAAATAAGATATTGTAATTGTCACAACCTTCAAGATGACATAATTGAAATAAAGATCCTCAAGCACAATATATCCTTCCTTGAATAGATGGTAAGATACAATATGTTTGATATTACAACCTTGGAAGAAACTTTCAATATTTGGTGAATTTATTATTGGTAGAAACGATTCCTAATAGTGTTTCAATTATTTTATTTGAAGGAAGTTACAAAGTCTTCAACAACAATAAAATAACAGGGTTGTCTATCTACCATGGTATAGGATACTATTGATGGTTGAAAAGATCTATCAACCATCTTCAAAGAAAACAAAGATCAAAGTATGTCGCAAATATAATTTATCGCATCTTAGATTTCTTCAACATATGATGACCGCTCCTTCTAGAATTTGTCCTTAGAAAGGAGAATAATGTCACAAATATATATATATATATATATATATATATATATATATTTATTTATTTTAATATTTATTTATATAATTAAGTGGAAATAAATAAAATTAAATTTATTTTATAATATTTCTATGAAAAGCTTCTCAAAAGCTTCATAAATATTTTTTTGACTTTACATGTATTTGTAATTAATTAGTAGACTAAAAACTTGGTCAACAAGTTAACTATACATTAGAAGCTTGCAAAAAAAGTTAACTATGTAGCTCACATATAAAAAAATTACCTTTCAAGTTAAGATATATATCTTATAAAGTCAATATATTTTGAAGGTCCTTTAGAATATTGCTACGTAGGTCCTAGTTAAGAGTATATATGGAGGCAAGAGTCAAGCTCTCTTTATTCTTATCAATGTCATCTAGTTGTTAGTTTTGTTTCAAGACTTTCTAGTCTTCTTGTCTTTGGCAGTAGCCATTCTAATTTAATATTATATCACCTTTAAGTGATTTTCTAGTCTTTTTAAGTGACACAAGGGTGTAGTGATATTTTAATTCTTTGAGTTTTATATTCTTGACATATATATTGTAATTGTGGTATTTGTAACTTTTTTTTGTTTGAATAATTTAATTCCTAATGTCCCATCTTTTTACAATAAAAACATTGGATTATTAGTTTTGACTTAATTTTGGAAAATTTTGGATTTCTTATATTAGATTTTAATGTAGATTGTTGTTATAACTTGTCTTATTTTTTTATAACTTATAAAAAGAACTTGTGATTTTGAAGATGAGCCTTTTATGGTTATTTCTTCTTGTTGAAGAATTGCAATTAATGTTGAAGAGTTGAATTTTTTATTCTATGTAATATTTATATTATGATGTTATATTGTGATGGCTAAAATTTCATTAGAGTGAGTATTTTCATTTGTAATAGAATTATCATTCTAACAAAGTGGCATTATTGGAGTAGAATTTTGAAGTTATGTAAATATTGCATGATTGATTTGTTTGCTTGCATCCTTTCTATTATGAATTTTTTGTGTAGATATACTTGAGTGACAATGTCATTGGCTGAGTATGTGTTTTTCTAGAACTAACCATATATTATCAGTAATTTTACATGCTCCAACATGTGAAAAGATAGTGTTATCAACACAATCCCAAATAGTTGCAAGAACGTGGTATTTCTTTTTCTACATAAGTATTGCAACATGATTTGTTGGAGGAGTTTATATTATTGCATTTGTTTTTGGAATAGGTATCGGTTCTTTTTCTTTATCAAAAACAAGCTCCTACATTTCTTCTATTTCAAACTTCATTTGTAACATATAGTATACAAGGAGCCATCAAATCTTAGCCAATCTTTGATAGAAAAGCTATTTGTAGCCATGTTTTTTTAGATAGGAGGTTTATTGGTGCCTTAGTTTCTATGAAGAAAATCTTTGACACAACCTCTTCCTATTTTACTACTTTTCTTAAAAAAATGAAGTTCTCAGAAAACAAACAAGCTCTAATATCATATTGGAACTTGTATGTAAAATTTTATGATCAACATTAAGTTCAGTAATAAGTAATAAACATTCTTGATTGTTATTGTGTATTAACACATGTGGTTTATACCGTCGAGAAGGGTGCATCTAGAAGGGTTGCACCCCTTAGACAGGGTGTGACTAGCTATTGTTACAATCTGTTTGTGTGACAGTTATGGTTACTAATAACGAATCACTCCGAAGTACTATACAAACACTCTGAGATCTGGATGTGGAATGAGCAGAAAATGTGGAATAATGGGAGTTCAGATATCGATATGGACTTCGTCTTCTTGAACATTCATGCAGGGTAACACATCCCACACAGACACGAATACCCAAAGACTTGCAGTCACAATACTCCACGAGAACCATATGTTTTCTTCACTAGATCGAAGAGCCCTGACCTGAACTGGATCATGCATTGGTCTCGATATAGAGGATGTTCAATGGCCTTACTCATCACCAGCTGTGTCACCGTCTGACAAGACGATCGTCTAGTGATTCATATTAAAGTGATTTGGCTTGTTTCTGATTCTGTGAACCATTTCTACTTGTAATAATGTGATTCCGATCGCACGTAATGTGTTCATATCACCAAGTCTAGTTGACGGCAATGAATTCATGCAATCTAGGTCTATTCTTACTGATTGGGATGTTGGATCAGTAACTAAGAAACTTGTTGTGTAGACCATGTTGGCACTACTTATCAATCCTTTTTCTTACCAGCAGTCGGTGAAACAGAATGGCGACCACAGAAGAAGATAGTCTTGTGAATAAAGATCACACAAGTGTGCAAAAGTAGACTGCCGATTTCCAGAATATCAGGTTTTTATTGAATTTACAATTAATGGGGAAGTACCCGGTAAATGAGCAAGAACCTATGGAGGATGTCTAAGGGGCGACCATACACTGACACCAGCAGTGGAATTCAGGAATCGGTTCCGTTGCATTCCTGTGGACGGTTGGTCAGCCAGAACTTAATACTAGTCACAAGCTAATCTCTTCGGGGCTTGGGGTGAACACGCTTCAGGGAACTTTATATCGTGGCCAATCAAGTGTGAAAAAAGCCTCACGGTTACCCCCATGAATATTTTTTTGGAAAAAAATTATAACCCCATAAGGAATTTGTAACTGTAACTGCATGAACCTGGATCTGGGCCTGCAGTCTATAGCTAAAAACTCCTTGCGGTGATTGTAGAAGACCATCAGGAAGACTTTTACGGTGCTTAACGTCGGGTCCACGCCCAGCTCGCACTCCTATTCGCAATGAATAAATCGACGACAAAAAACTCACATGTAACCATGCGCTTGCATACTTGAGCAATTAGATGATGAAGATACCAGCTCTGATCTTCACGGTCTTCGGAGGAAACGTCGGTTCGGAGGATCCTTCTTGCAAATACAACCTGGGTAAGGGTTGGAGTAGAAATTCTCCTCTAACTTGGGCGATTCTCCAGGCATTCGCCAGCGCGGCGCCCCTATTCGGTTGCTGTGGATCTTGCGCACCTGGCCTTCAAAATTCTTCCACGCGATGGCGCCTCCTTCATAGTCGTCGATCAGCTTCACTAGCTGCTGCCTGCAATCACAATTGAAAGCCACAACAGCCCAGGGTTAACACAACCGCAGTCGAGCACAGAAAACATTTAATTTCTAGAATTGATCCATTATAATACACAATGCATTCTAAGGAAAAAGGAGTTTACGTATGGTGCAAACAAACCTGTCAGGGCTAATGGTCTTCCGGTAACCCTCGAACTGTCGGTGGCCCTTCACAGCTTTGGCCATATTTCCATCATACGTATAAATGAATACATCACTCTCTAAGGCCACCATGTAGTCTAGGCCAGCAAGCCGATTTTGATACTTCTTCAAGGAAGCCAGCTCTGCCTCCGTTGAAAGCGTAGCATGATTATACACGTTCGGAAACTCTTTGTGAAGACTATCCATAGCACCTTGTCCATAGATTTCCCCAGCCACGATGTAGATTTGAGTTGAGGATGGATACCCTAAAGCTTTCAGCATTAGGGCTACTTCGTGGGGAGTGAGAGGGCAGCCACCCAGCTTACGCTTCTCCTCTCCATCGATCTCTTTCTCCTTCCAATGTTTGACTTCGTAACGCATTTGCTTCAGCTCATCGGCCTCCTTGTTGGAGAGACCATGCGCACATCCTGTAAACGCGAGCATATCCTTCTCGAATCTCAGATGCAAAGCTAAGTAAGGACCCTTCTTACGCATGCGATTGGTGAGGGTGCTCGCCAATCGTCGAATGGGTTCCGAGTACTGGAGCGCTTGGTAGTTGACTCGACATCTCAGATGCTGCACATAATCAGGCAGATCATTGTTTGCCAGCCTTGAGTCGGCGTGAGTGAAGTACAGCACCTTGCTCTGCTTAAGGAGGGGTAGCAGTTCCTTCTCGTAGTAAGATGCCTGTTCACGTTGAATGATAAGGACGTCAGCCCTCGCATCACGACACCATGCACCTACAACAGGTTCTATAATAAATATTTGCGGAAACAAACATCGAACGAAGACGTTTCATACATTGTGTGTGGACAAAAAACTTCACCTTCGACCAAGAGACGGGCGCTTTAGTCACAGGCTCAAGCTGGGCGAGATGTGGTGGTAAAGCGTCCACAATATTGACGTCTTCTCCGAGCGATTCGATGAAATATTTCAAGTCAAAAATGTCCTTAAATTCACTGCAAGAAAGTAATATTGCATTCAGTTCACAAAAAACGAATCGACTCATTACGTTAGCAAACTATGAGAAACGGCCATTGGAAGGACCGATAACAGCTGAAGAGCATGATAGCAATTTAGTTGTAACAAACCAAGCAGACAAGAGAACGCGTGCAGACCTTGGATCTGCCCAGAAAGAGCTGTGGTCAAGTTTGGGGGTGACAAGTGTAGCATTCATCAGCTTAGCAATTGCCACCATGTCACAAATCTGCAGACAAACATTCCTGGTGGTGAGATACAATTCATGACCAAAGAATTTTTTTTAAAAAAAAAACAAAACAAAACAAAACAAAACGAAAAAAAAAAAAAAAAAAAAAAAAAAAAAAACCGAAGAAGAAGAAAAAAAAAAGAAGAAGCAGTAGTAGAGTTTGATAATCCAACACTCACTCCTGCACGCATCTGATTCAAACCGCCATTTGCATTTACTAGAATGTATCCATTTGTCGCTACTCCAGGCTCTGAGAAACCAAACGAAAATAGCAGATTCAGTGAGACTTCACAGAAATCAACAGAAAGAATTCCTTCACAAGAATTCACCAACAATGGTACCGCATTCACGTCTACTTCATCTCCTAGAATTGCACGAAGGTAAGCATTCTGGTACAGAAAAGTGATACACTTACTCTCTGCCTTCTTAGCTCGATCGATGCACTGGCCATACATCTGACTGGCTGGCTTTCCCCACAGATCACCAGGACCTGAAGCCTGTTCCCGCAAGGTAGGAAACCCTAAACAATATCAGTACAAGCTCCCAAGACGCATGTGAATGCAAAAAATAATAGACCTCCAATTCCAACAACTTCATCACACACCCCAAGTCATCAATACCGCCTCATCAGAGAAAATACTAGAAGCCGACATGTCAAGATGGAGTCCAAGGTTATCACCTGACTAAACTGTTCCGGGATGCCTCGCCGATTGGGCATCTTCAGAATTGAGGAACTGGCAAGGATATTGCCATTCTTGCTCTCATCGATGGCGTTACTTGATTCCAGTTTAAAAGGATTCAATAAAATCGTCCTATCATGGTACTGCAAAGGTAAGAGTTCACGCTATTAGCTATGCGTGTAATCAGAGCAACCTGGATGGCCGATAAACAATTCGAGAAACCGTTGCAAGCTTTGTTATCATTCTTCCAAAGCACCACAGGGGTTTGAGGCATTCTACTCACATCGTAGATGCTTTAACTGCAGAAACAGCGCAAACTCTAATCTCTCAGAATGAACAGAGCTTAGGGTTTCTGAATAGAAGTAAAACGAATTACCTCCAAGACGTCTGGAGAATGGTCCTGAGCGGAAAACAACCCCACGTACATGATCTTGAGCAGGAAGAATATGATAATCAGGAGGGTAGAGAAGTAAAAGGCTGATTGTCGCCAGTTCTTCTTGGGACCCCCAAAATGACCAGAGAGGCTGCTGCTACAATGTTGCAACACTGCGTTGTCTCCGAACATTGAAACATGACCATGATCCTTCTTGTGATCTTTTCCGCTGTCGTCATCGTTAAGCTCCGCCCTCAAGTCTAAGTCGTGTGGGGGGTCTTCATCCTCAAGACTACGCTGACTCTTGAACAGCTTCAAAAGAAGATGCGGCGACGGCTCCTGCATGCGTTTCTGGGACAACGACCTCCTGCTCATGGGATGAAACGGGTTGTTTGTGCCGCCAACTCGGGGACTCAGGAGTACATGAGTGGGATCTCGGCTTCCATTCGTCACGTCCGAATTGGGGGGATGAGCCAGTAATGTACCCATCTCCTCGGAATTGCGGTACCCCTCTTCCAGTCCCGCTCCATCGGAAGGGACTGGAGGATACTCGCAGTCGAGTTGGAGCTGGGAGATCCCGATGGGCGCCAGCTTAACCTGCTTTCTATACCTTTTAACCGTACTTGCTAAGTGAGTACCGAAATTAAAATCTTTGTACAAGCCTAAGTTACAGCGTCCAGTTATAATCAATGAAATGACAGAAAATGGCCGATTCGGAAAATTCACCCAAATTAAACGCTTAAACTTGACGAATCTCTACTTGTTCACAGTGGGGGTAGCATATCCCCTCGGTGCCATAAAAATGAACATTTGATTTTACGTTTGGAAGTGGGCAGGAAGTGGAAATCCTGACATTGATTTGTCTAAACTCGGTTCCTCACACAGTACTAGTTTGCAAATCCGTAGTACTTATAGTAGAAAGTGTACAGGATGCGGTACTATCCTCAGTGCCATTAAACAACGGAATATAATCCTGGTTGCTTTTAGTTGATGGATTATTCCTATATGTTCCTTCCACATGGCATCCCAAGCTGACACTGTTTGTTTCCCTTGCAGTAGATTTCTGCAAATATAATACGCAAATGGTTCTTCAGCATTGCAAGTAAAGATTTCACAACGTTTGCGGAAAATTCGGAGATGATTTACAAAACCTAATAGACTTTACGCACTGTAGAAACTCACTCACAAGAATTTGGCAACCTGAACGAAAGCATCAAAGGAACTAATAGCACGCGAAAAAAGAAAGAAGAAAGCAAAAAAAAAAAAAAAGAAAAAAAAAAAAAAACCAAATCCAATGGCTAAACTGCCGCAAGGGGCAAGAAGCAGCACAAGTCGGAACTTGTACACTTGTTTGTTACAAGGAAAAGTATTTAGCAGCAACTCCGGAAAGTGCCAATGCAACTAAAAAGTAATGTTCTCAAACTCAAACCACGTACACTATCGGAGGTCTGCGAATCATGTGCAATTTCCAAGTGGCCAGGATTTCGGAGCGCACGTCGATCTGAACTATGACTGACTACTTCTGCAACCCAGCGAGCCAGACGCTTGCAGCGTTGATCATCGTATCAGCACAACTAATCTTAACACGTAAATTTGTAGGTTCAATTCTACCGAGGAAGGAGATCTCCGGAGCTTGGGACTAATTTGGTTTCAGCAAACATTTCGAAATTGGCAACTCTATGCATTCGAACAAGAATTGGGCATAGCATTGACAAGCACACCAAGTGAGGTTTGTATTACTAATGACATTTATCTCATTAGGAGTTAGACCTTGAAGCACGGAAGGTGTATGTGTACCTCGCTCTATCTATCCCTCTCTCCACACTAGCAGGATATAGCTATACTACAGTAGGAACAATCTAAGTTTCAGAACGAAAGCGTTACACTGCTCCTCCCAAAACACAACTTGACAGAAGTGACAAAAATAGACCGAAGAATAATTGCAGGTTATCACTTCGCTGACACCACATTCATAGCACGGATTCACACGTCAACCCCAAAAAGGTTCAACAACGAGGCGGAACGTCGGGTTCAGCGAACCACGAGTATAGCCCTATTCCAAGTTTCATCAACTTCTCCCAACATCTCATTGGTCAAATTACAGAAAACTAGCGCGCAACATTCAACCCTAACAAACGCTAGGAACTAGCACAGCTCACCCTCACTACCACATCACATGCTCTGACCAGCAAATCGATGAAGCAAAATCTGATCCGAGCCAAGACATCAATGCCCTGGAACAGACTCCAACCGAACGACACTCACGAGCTTCTCACGACAACACTCTCGCTCCTCAGCACTCTAGCATTCACCAACATGAGCACGAAGGACACTCACTGGAACTACAAGACTATCAGGGGGAAGGGGGGGGGGGGGGGGGGGGGGGGGGGTAACTGGCAGCGAACCAGTTTGGCAAAAGTCACAGACTGCTATCAAAAATCACAGGGCACGAGAGCTACTGGAATTGTACCTGGTGACGACGCAAGAGGAGATGTCGCGAGACCGAGTGGACGGCACTACGCGGAGGCGAAGTGGGTGATGGACTGAGGCGAGCCTCTGATGAATGACAACGGCGCAAGCGAGAGACAAGCTACGGGAAGGCGCACGCGGACGTTGCGGCGCTGCATCGCAGCCAATCTCCGCAGTTAGTGCGCACTGGAGTCGGAAGCCCGAGGCAGTGTTGTAAGAATAGTAGCCACTTTATCTCCATCGCCCTTCGCCGGTAATTTCTGTGTCCGCCCCGAATGCGACGAAACGTGACACAACGGTTTCCTCGGAGTCCCTTCTCAAGACGCCACCATATATGCTTTACAGAGGTGATTGGGTTTTTTCGGGGCCGCCAGTCAGCGCTTTGTGTTTCAACTCACACATTGTTCATTGCAGGGCAGCCCTGTTTTACGCATCCTATATTCATGTTGTGTATATTTGTAAATCTGTATTTATTTTATTTTCTTCGTTCATTTCTATAGGATTCAAATCATGAGTTTTTGTACTTATGTGATGGGGGGAGGAAGGATTTCACGTGAAAGACAAACTACGAAGAATTATAAACAAAGGGCTGAAAACACGTTCCTTGATTGGCAAAACTTTTATTAGTGCTTTGTCAACTGTAATATTCAGTTTGGTGTAAGAGCTGTCTTCGAAATAAAATAATGTTAAGTTGAGTTTGCAAAAAACGCACATGCGATATCTTTGTATTAATTAGAGTGCATACAGGATTTAGATTTAGCTATCTATCAATACATATATAAACATATATATATATATATACATGTATCTTACCGAAAACAAATCTGTCCTTTGCAAAGACTGAAACACTGACACGTTTTAGTACTGACACCTTTTGTTTTGGAAAGTATGTTCAATTCTGTGTACATTGTATTTTAGCAACGATTCAATCATGTTACCAACCTTAATATTTCTCCGTTTCCCCACATGATACGGTTAAAAACAATAATATGAAACTTTTGGCACTTTATCACGTTAATGCATTGGATGTGAACCTCATCCATATTATTTTTTTCATTTTGGTGTGATTTCTAGCATACGCTCCTTGAACTTTGTTTTCAACATCTACTTCTTTAACTTGGATCGTGCTTCAGTGGAATACGAAGAGTCTCATACAGTTTGATGAGCAAGCTTAGAAGTGCCTAACGCATACCCCAGGGGATTTAAAATGATTCAAAATTCAAAATGGGTATTTTTCTAAAGGATTATTCCATTTCTCTATTATTATACACATTCATAAAGATATAAACACCTTACGTGGAGATGACACATGACATCACAGTAATTCATTCTTCCAATCTCAACACCACATTCATTTTGGAAGGTAAGCATTGAGTCCCTTGTCTCCGTTTTAAGGTTTATAACATAGTCAAATAATATTCAACAACAACAACAGTAACGATAATACTACCATAACCCTTTTTCCCTCAGAACAAAGACACTGTTTTCATACAACATGGAAATGAGAATACATTTTCAGCAAGTCCCAAATTGATCCTTTTTCTTCTCTGTTCAAACATATCAATCATTCTTTTTAAAATTTTCTAAAACACCAATAATGCCACAGCAACAAAATTCTCTAGACCCCATAAAATAATCATAGACAAACAGCGGAGTAGACAACAGAAGAACTGGTTGACTTTATCATTTCATGGCGTAGCATTGCGAGCTCAGCGACAGAAAAAAATTGTCAAGTGGGCACAGGAGCCCAAAGTCAAATCATAATCCAGCTTCGAAGCTGTACAGCATGCGCATAGTCAACACACGCACGAGCACACAAGCACACAAACACACGAGCACAACAAACAGGCGGAGGAGCTTCAAATCTCATTCCGTGTCTCGCGATCGATCGCTCTGGCACCCTGGATTAGGGTTTCGAAAGTCGAGCCTTCCACACTGTTGTTGCTCCATCTCGTGCTCAACTGGAAATCCCCCCCCCCCCCGCCTTTCTCAAAATGAACTACCAATACCCTGCATCCTGGTTTTGAAATCCCACAGGAAGCCCAAACAAGAAAGAAAGAAAGAATACAAAGGAATGAAAGAATAAACAAATAAACAAATAAACAACAGGTGAAACAACAGGTGGGTGTCTACGATGATGGCTGTCTCCACCCACCCACCCACCCAGCTGGGCCCAGCAGCGAGTTCGAATTGAGGTTCAGTTCCATATTATTTCGCCTCGGATTCGTCGGAAACCAATCCAGACAGTCGCGAAAGTTCGAGGCTTGCCAAACCGTTCGCTCGTTCATTCATTCATTCGTGAGTGCAAGTGTGTGTGTGTGGCGAAGCTGGTCGCACAGGTACGGTGTGCCATGGCGGAGCTGTGTATATTCATTCTTATCATATATATATATATATATATATATATATTTAATTTTTTTTGTCTGGGGTTTAGTTAGATAATTAGTGCTGGGGTGAGCTGGAGGTGGAGGTGGAAGCCCTCCCTTCCCTTCCGTCACTACCTTATCGCAGTGAGTGAGTGAGTGAATGAATGTGCACCACTACTTCTGCAGTTGTAGCAGTGCAGTGCTGGCTTGGCGGATTCCCCAAGGTGTCTCCCCCCCCCCCTTTTTTTTCTTCCATGGAGGTGGCTCGAGTTCATCAGCGCTTTTCGTGACATCATTGCCAGGTCATGGTGCGCTAATTAGTGTTGTTAACTGTTTTATCGATTGATTTGTCTATTTATCTTATCTTTTATTTTTTTATTTTTTTATTTTTCTGAAATAGAGCTGAGAGAGAATCAACAAACAGCTTATTCGTTACTCTGAAGCACTTTTGAACCATGATCATCTATTTTATTTATTGCTTGATTTCTTTCTTTCTTTCTTGTTTTTTTTTCGTTTTCTTGCATTTAAAAGTGACTGATTTTATTTAATAAACAAAATTTTCTCCAATTATTTAAATGCCATCCATATCCAAACTTTGATATTTTTTTGAATTTTTAGTTTACAATTAGGTTTCTTGTAATTTTATAAGTTTTTTTACTTGGTTGTGGGTTCATTCTGGGAAGACCAGCTACTCTAATGTATCATACGTAATATTCAGTATATGTAATATATATATATATATATATATATACACATGCACATGAGAGAATTTTCTAAAGTATATCTAAAAAGTACAAAATGTGATGTTTAAAATATAAGAAAAAGAAAAAGTTAAAGAATCACATGGTATTAATAAGTAAATAAATAAATAAACAAATCAATCAACCAAGCAAAACATTATTATTAATCAAAATATGCATCGAAGAAGTTATATTTTATTATCATTGTGCTACTACTACTACTACTAATAATAATAATAATAAACACCATCATATTGATCATTTCGTGATCATTAGCCAATGGTTAGATTTTATGTTAATCACCTGTTTTGATTCTATAAATTGTATAAAAGCACTTTCTTTCATTTCTAGTTCCAAATATTGCCCATATCATCAAAACTAAAGTAGACAGTTTTAACCCATAATGCTCTACTTATTATTTCAAAACTCTCAAAGAGTGTTTATATTTTGTACTTAAAATGTACATTGTTCAATGTCAGCCCTTTTTAATGAGAATTTTCATTTACAAGGAAAGAAGAAGAAGAAGAATAGATTTTCAATTTAGATTCAACTAGAATAAACATCGTTATGTTACAAAAATAAAAATAAAAATAATTTTCAAATGATTGTAGATTTTAGCAACCAATTTCACAAAGGAGATGCCACACTCACACTTTGACCTCTCTACTTCATTTGTTTGTCATACATGCATGTCAACAGAGATAGATGATGTCTATTTGTCTTAAAGTTTGTGCAACTCAATGACAAAAAAAAAAAAAAAAACTGATAGGATACCTTAAAATGTTGGCAATAAGCGATCAGGATTAAATGTTAAAACAATAAAAAAAATAAAAAAATGACAACAGAAAACATCATTTTCGGACAACTTGATAAACATTTTTTTGTTACAATACTTTAGTAAGGGCAGGCATTTTGGATTTTCTGCTCATCCAGCACCGGGTACAGGCTGGGTACCTATTCTACACCCCCTTGACAATCCCGTCAAGGTTACAACAAAGTAGCTGAGGTATTATAGTGCTTCATGGGTGAAGAAGTCACTGTGAGCACCTACCATTCCTAATGCGACATCAAACATTTCATCTAATTATCAAGGAACCGCTTAACTTTCCAGATGCTCATTCATCAATAAGTTGGCTATGAAAACATGAAGGTCTAGAAGGAAAGAGGCAATACCGTACTACCAATCACTTAAGTACGCTAGCATTATTTCCCTTTCTAAGATAAGTAGCACGAGCTCTGACAGCTGAACAATATTGATAAATCACTTTCGATGAGTTCATTTAGTGAGTGCCGTCCTTTCTCCCTTCGAACTACGTGTCCGGTGCGGTTTTGCCAAGTCTAGTGCTTCCTCATGGAGACTTTTTCGTCGCTTGCGCCGCCTTCGCTTCTACCTACAAATCCCACATCGTTGACTACTGATCGAAATTGCTTGATAAGGAGAGCCGTCTGGGTTGTGGTTCAAATGCCACATAATGTGCAAAATTGCTTTTTCCCAGGGTGCCTGTTGCTGTTAGGTCTTGTGACACATTGGCCCAAAAAGTCTGTTGCTTGTACCTTGTTGCTCGCAAGCCCTCCTTGTGAATGCCGCACTACACTGCGACGGTCCCCACGCAGCTCTTCTTCGCATTATCAGGACTAGATCCACTCTTACTAGCTTCACCAGTTTGATCTCAAAATGCCAATCCAATGCTTGAACCTTGGACACAAGGTTTTGGAGATGGTAATTTTCCCTTCTCGGGCAACTAGCATCCAATCAGATACTGAGATCTACATGCTTCAATATTTTTTAGAGTCTTGGGAGATTCGTTGATCTCTGGACACGTCAAAAAGAGCTTTGACAAGAAGTTTACACCCTTCTGACTCATGCTCTACCGTAATGGTCAACGCCGCGGTGACTCCGAAGCTCCGATCGGATGCATATCTACACTCGACTCCTGGCCAACCGTCCTCTACCTCCCACTCAAATTTAATACCATGAAGGAAACCTCATGCATTGAAACTACATATCAATAACAAACTCACTCCAGACCCAAACGTCACAGATCACGTGGTACAGGTATCAACCGGCATTCCGTAGTAGAACCCAAGCGGCCAAACCAAAACTAAATTCACCCAAAAATAAAAATAAAAATCGATGTCGGCTCCAGCGCATAAACATCACCCGACGCTGCGGTTGATTAATCAGAAAGTCACCAATCTCCTCCCCATCAAAGTCTAAACCAGATCTGTACTTCGCTAGGAATTCTCCCGGCTAATGAGAAGTTAGTTCAAGGCTTCGATTGCTTCCTTGTCTACATTGCTTCCTTCTCAATGACTATCCGTTAAAAATGCCCAGGTTCTAGTTGTGCCACAGCCTCTCCGAGCGAACTAGAGTTCAATGGAAGAGCTTCACCAGCAGCTGTTGCAGACCCATTCCTCTCCACAAGTCACAACCATGTTGCCAATGTTAAAAGTCACAGCTGCCAATTTTCTCAAGTAGAGAGTCTTGCCTACAAGATATACCCGTCTGTTTTAAAAGTCTTCGTTCTATTACCCAAAACACCATCCAATCTATTTAAAGAAGCACTGTATCAAACCAACTTTGCAGTTGTGCAATTTGGGTGGAAAGACTATTGCAACTCGCTGTTGAGTTACTTGGTGAGGCACTTGCCTCTTACAGCCAACTTGGCACAACCATGCAAAGGTCCTTGTTCAAAAATGCATGTAGATTTGGTATATAATTGAAAAATTGCAAATATCTTGGACGTGATTCAATTTGAAACCTCAAGCACAAATACGATTATAGGATAGATAAGAGCAAGCTTTTTCAATAGTTTTGAATGAGAAAGAAAAGTTTATAAACCTCATTATGAATAGATGCATGCACCAAGTTGGAGGTTATTACACATATGTCATTGCACTACCTCATTTCTTTTTATGATTTCTAAAACTATTATATTGATTAATAGATATTTTCTTCTGTATTTTTCATGTGTTTTTAGAAGTCAAGGAACAAAAATTAAACTACATTTTTGTAAAATTGAAAAATAAAACCATTTAAATTTAGAACAAAGATATTTTTTAGAAAATAAATTTTATAACTTCTAAGATTATATGTTAAATAAAATTTTTTTTTCTTATAAATTTTAAAATTTTATATTTTAAAATTTTAATTTTAATGTTGTAACTTTTAGTATTGAATCAATTCTAAAATTTTGGCACTTATTATCTCTTTGACATTTTTTTTTAATTCACATATGGAAATTTATACAATAATTATTCATTTAAAAATATATTAACTATTAAATATTAAATATCAGAAAAAATTATTCTTATATTATATAAAATTTCAACATACTATCTAATATTATTATAAATCGTAATACAATTGCAAAATAAACATAGCTCAAAAATAATATTTGTTGAATCTCTTAATGTATGTTGTCAAAAAATTTAAGGCCATTTTTTGATAGAAATAGATGCATCAAAATTTATATTACATATAATTTAATCACAAATGGATGTGTCTAACTTGTAAAACAAGTTACCTACATGTGTGCCATATAGCCAATCTGTTGGCCAAATTTTTAACCTACTAGTAACCTACTAATAACCTACAAACACAAATAAATAGTTAGTCAGTTGAGTTGTGAAAGGAATGCCACAATCGGTTGAGGCCCTTGTAGACGCAGTGCCCCATTCGCCTCACATGAGAGCGGGCGATGCGGGATTCCATGGTCTCCTCCTCCACCTGCAGCATTCGGTGCTCCTCGCGGCTCAGGTTGCTTCGATCCTGCCTGCACTCCTGCAGCAGCCGCCGTGCGGTCCAGCGAGCATACTTCCAGCAGTTTTGATCTCGCAGAGTGTAGTCGGGGTTGTGTTCACCAAGAATGTCTTGCAAGGCTCGCAATCCTATTCTCTTATCCAGGCATTGTATGGTGATGAGCAGTGCCTGGCCCTCCGTTCTCTCGAAATCCAAGTCGACGGCGATGATAATTCCTGCGTCTCCCTCTTCGAACTTAGTCTTCTCGGCTCGTATGTACATCGTCTCACCCATGTCGGCACCGTAGCCCATTTCCAGCACTAAGTAGTCGTGGTTGAGGATAGACGGCGGCCGTTCCGCATATGCGCTTGTGGTGGGGTTGGATGTATGCAATGTTTCCGTCCTGAGTAGCTTGTGGGATTTGGCTATCGATGTCATATCTGATTCAATAAAAAATCGGTTACATTAAATGACAATTTACAGCTCGATCTGGCTTGGCTGTGCTTCAGGCTCTTTCTGCATGTACTTGCATTCTTGTTTGTTCGCACTCCCCTAGATGAACGCAAATCTACTTTATCTGGTTTCATCGGTCGGTTAGTAACTGAGAATATGGACTGCGTCGCAGATCACACAAGTCACTGAGGAGAACAGAAAATCGAACCTGATTGACAGTAGTGGATGTTCTTCAAAATAGTTGGCCGATTGCAAAGCTCCTCATAAAACTTAGTTCCCAGATCGTCCTCGACTTTATCCATAATTTTTCCGCTGATGAGTTCTCTGGAGCTATCGCTGTACCCTAGTGTTGCGCTCGCCACATCCATAACATCTAGAGTGGTCTTTACCAAGAACTGACCGAACCTATCGAGTTTCGATTTCCCTGATCGTCGCTGCCAATCCATCGCTTAGTGATCCTGTTCCAACGTTCTTGTTGCCATAGCTCACCACCTCACTGTGTGCGTCACTATATTGCGAAGATTACAAAAAACAAGAAGAGCTGCTGGTACCGTGCCTATACAACCCAGACGCCACTTAAATATCGGGTGAATCACTAAGATGACACCCATCCTGAAAATATGTTCGCCATAATCAAATGCTCAGGAGCCGGGCAACAACAAGGGGGTAACGAAATACCAATACTGAGTCTGTCGGTAAGTGGAAAGATGCCTCTTCAGACTGACCAGCAGCTGAAATTGGAATCTCTGCTCCTCTTTCGATGAACTGTACCTGCTGGTTTCAATCGTCTACCTCGTCTCCATGCAAAGCCGGCATATCCTTCGCCAACAAATGTTCTTAGTCTTAAAGTTGAAGCAGTCGCTCTTTTGAATACAGTCCAGCTTGCGCCTATTCGCTTTCTGCAGGTATCGTCCCTCTTTGCTTCGAGAGTTCCAAGTATATATTAAGTGAGACTGAGAAACAAGCTGGATCTGTCTGCGCGTTGGAATCTACGCTGCAGCGGGAAAGATGGAGTTGTGAGAGAAGGGAAGCAGTTGCGTGCAGAAGGAATCTAATCAAAAGAAGGCGATGTAACTGACCTTGTTGACTGTTAGGTTGCGAAGATGATGATCAGCCAAGCGAGGATCCAATAATGGACCTAAGCATGACATGGTCATGAGGCTGCGACCTTTGTGACAAGATCTGGGCAGCCTCTCTCGACGCTGTTCACAATTTCCAGAAACCTCGCCTTAGATACCGACTGCTTTCTATGTGCAGACACGGACTTTCCTTTATTTTTTAATACTGAAACATAAGGAAGTGTACCCCCTTTGAAAATCAAATAGTTAACACTATTATAACATTTTTATTTTTCTGTTCATAATATAGAATCCTTCTTAGAGTTCTTTCTACTATTAAGACCTTTAGAATCCATTGTAGTATCTTCTTGTTCTACTTTTTTCTTTTAATCTTCAACTTATTGGTGTTAGTTAGTTTATTGAAGAACTAGCCATGCTTCTCTTTTTAATTGCGCCTGCGAACACCACCGCAATACACTTGAAATCACGTTAAGAAGCAAGAAAGCTTCCGGCATGGTCCCATTTGCCTACCAGGAGGAGCAACTTTACCAGCGATAAATGTCACCGCTGGCTTTTGCGTACCACTTTCCCTGATGAATGAAGTTACCTCTCTTTCGACAGAGCCTCCAATTTCACCAATCAAGACTATGTCTTTAGTATTCGGATAATTCACGAGCTTCTCTAGACAATCTACAAAATCTGACCCACCAAATGAATCGCCAGCGATCTCCACGCAGGGTCACTGCCTTAGGACTGTTGCCGTCGTTTGGAACACTGCTTCGTACAGGAAACTTCCCATACTTTCAGTTCCTCCTGGGAATGATGATCAAGCGAACTGTACTCTCCATCTTAGCTTTTTTGCATGACTCCGACTCAAGAAATTTGAGGATCGATACACTTCTGAAGCTGCTCAACCATCCATGTAAAGAACCGCACAAGGAACACCATTATCGTTGTTCCTTGAGATACAATGACTAGATTCAAAATCTAGATCCACCGCTTGCTGCTTGGTGCGGCTTGTTTTTAAGCGGTTCACATAACTATCCCGCCATGAACTTTCAAAAACTAGCCACGTGATCAAAATAGTCCGCTGCAAATGGGGTGCGTTTATGAGATGTGATCTTCATCAGAGCACACAAAAACATGCATATCTTCAATCTCACAAACTCGACAAGCTGTTCCCCCGTTGTCCAATGAGTCAATGTTCTCGTCCTCGGACTGTAGTGCTTCAAATTGGATCTAGCATGGCACCCTGAAATCCCTGTTCGAATTCTTTACGATTGTCTTATAGCTCAGATTCAGTTCTCACAGAACAAGACAGATCACCATGCCCTGGCCTCACTTCGCCAAATCTGTCAACTTCCAACTCTTCCACAAGTTGATCTGCCTTGCTTGCTTGTTTTTATCACAACATGCGTATTCTCTCTACGGAGGCCTAGCAGTTATAATTGAACCTTGAGTTGATTTACGTGATCTTGCGATCTGGATCTACCATTTTCTGAAACAAACGCTACTCGACGTGTCTGTTTAATGTTTGCTTTGTTAATGATTTTTAGGGTGGGTTTCAAAGCTGTAGACTTTGCTAAAATACTCCAGTCTTCAAGCTTTACTGACGTGTTTCCTAAGATATGTTATTTGATAAGAAAATTTACAAACTTAATCCTGTTTCTTTTGTTCCTCTACATACTGATCTTGACTTGATTGAAATTTTGACTTCTATCTTTCTGAAGCCTTTGGTTTTATTTACCTGTACAATCTTAAACTATTTGAAGAACAAATTTATTCCTATATTTACTTAATTTCACATTAATTTAAGTATTAGTGTTGGTTTTAATTCTATAAATAACCATTTTGATTCTTGAATATGCTAAAAAAATTCTAAAATAATATTAACATCAATATTCGTTTTTATAGAACGACTTATTCTTAACAAGAGGTAGGTAGAAAAAGAATTTTTAACATAAAAGAGCATATTGCACATAAAATGTAAGAGGCTATCATACAAAAATTACCTAATTTTAGTTTGTGATTACCAAATCGTTGCATAATTGCCTCTTGCATTTTATATAATAGATTAATTTATATCACAAAGTTCTAAACAATGACATAAATAAATTGAAGAAAACAAAACTTTTTGCAATCTTTAAGAAATAGATGTTTGGCAAGGATATTTTGACATAAGATATTTTAGAGGATGTATGCATCTTAATTTCTATTGCTAAAGAATGCAATATTGGAATACAAATTTTTGCAGAAGAATTGGAATAATTGACTAAAAATATTGGAGATAGATATTAGATGCAAATGCGGATTTTATATATTATCGTAGTAAAGAGGAACTAAGAATGAATCATTATGATTTATAATAAAGGTTAAGAAAATAATAAAAAATAAAAAATAATAAAAAATCAATAAAAATAAAGAAAAATAAAATCTAAAAAAAGAAGTTAAAATTATAAAATAAAATAATAATATAAATTTATGAAATAAGTTATTTATTAAAATATGTAAAAAAAAATCATACCAATTTAGCATCATTTTTTAAAAATAAACTATATTTATTGCACAAGATTTTTAAATAGTACCACTTTTAAACATAGAAATTTTATAAAAATAGAAATAGATAAAATAGTATATATAATCTATATTTTCTAAAAATATCTTTGTTTATATTTACATCTTTATATATACAATTTCTTTTATTTATGCATGCAAAACTTGCATAAAGTCTATATTATAACCTCTTATTTATATATATAAATTCTCTATTAAATGTATATATTTTTAGTTAAAAATAAATATATAATATAATTTTTTAATTTTTTAATATTAATCTAAATGTTGTAAAGTTTTTCTATCTAGCTTGGTTTTAGATCTTCAAGTAGTATTCAAAAAAAAATAAAAAAAATAAAAAAATTTGCATTAGATTGTACAGAAAAGATTAAGCTTAAACTTATAAAATGTGATTATTTAAAATTTTATTTTCTTGAAACTCATTCTAAAAATAATGCTCTATATATGTTCTTAGTTGTAAAGACCTATTATAGGTTTATCAATTTATTAAAACCAATTTTCATCTTGTCCACTCATCAAAAAAGAAACAATGCTTTATTTAAAATTGAAGCCAAATTTTGGCTATATGATTGCCAAAACACAACTTAAAGGTATTTTAGAGGTTATTATTGATATTAGGATGTAAAATAATAAGCTCTTGAAGCATTTATGTGGTATCATACATACACACACAAGCATTTATAAGGTACTTACATGTGATACTAATGGTCCTAAGAGCTTAAATGCCACATCTTAACACATCAAAATATATATATACATATATGTAGAGAGAGAGACACACACACAGTTTTAGTTTTTCTAAAAATCCTTTAGTCGATCCTATTAAATTTTACTCTTTAATAATAACGTGATTAATTTGTAAAAATTATACTCTAATAACGTAATCCATGTGAAACCTCCTCCTCTCATTCGTTTGCCATCAACGGCTTCCAAAGCCGTCCTCTAGCACCCAAAGCCGAGGGGAAAGGTATAGTCACCGTGTTGAACGCACGAATGCATCCCCAATTTTCATCCATCCATACCCTCCCAACGGGCTCCAAAGCCACGCGCGGGGATCCATATCCGGGGAAAGAGGGGCCAGTAACCGACGGACCCGCAGAGAGAGTGGGTATCGTCCACACGCTGAGGCCAGCTTTCCGCTGCGACTGCGCGCCTCTAGTTTCGCAGATGGGGATTCTCCATAGCACCACCTTTAAGTTAGTCCACACCTGCTTCGTCGCATCATCACTCATTCATTCCCTCGGACCATGCACATCTCTGCGCACCACCCTCGTCGACCATCAATACCACCCCCAGCTTTATGCACAGTCTCCCATGATTTCCTCTTCATCGTCGGGCCAGATTCGCATGCTTTTCCTTGTAACTTAGTGGTGGATTGTAGTCGCACTTGTTATTGGCAACTCGGAAATTTCTATATTCCAACGTGGAGGTGAAACAAGAATTTCCTACTTCTTCTTCTTCTTCATGCTAGAACTTGACGGTAGTAAGAGGCTGTGAATTCCCCACCGGTTGACCAATTCGACTGTGGTGGGCGAGAGAAATTGCACGTGTTTTTGCCGCTGTCAAAGATCTGAGTTGTCTCTAGTGTGGTTGTTGTTTTCAAGTTCACGCAGATGTGCTGGAAGTTGCGGAATTGGTCTTGATCGTAGGAATCAGACACGAGTTGTGGTTTCTGTCGCAGCGATTCTGCGAGCATTTCTTATTTGAGTAGGTAGCGTTGAGGGGAATTTTCGGTTAGATCAGGGAGGTCTTTCGTTGCCACATTCGACTCGCTGACTGTGCGGGGAATTACACTTTCTTCGGCAGCTGCAGACTCGGAGAAGGCGCTGTTGCGTTGGGGTGTGCAGACTACGATGGATCTTTTGGTGTTGTTCCCACTGGAGTCCCTGTGCAATACTTTTCCTGCGAGCAAACCTGTGCAGAATGTCTTGAATGGCAAGGACCTACTCGCAGTGAAAAGTTTGGTTCCGACAGTGAACGGAGCTCTTACGAAGGACGCGAGCAGTGAAAACACTGCAGGTGTGGAAGCTGAGACTGGAAGTTTAGTTCGGGGATAACAGCTCTAGCGTTGAAGTCCCCCCAAGGGCAGGCTGTCAAGAGCTGGATCGTCGAGTGGTCGCCTGGACTACTGTGCCATATCTTACTTGACTTGAATCCTTATCCAAGGTACTAGATGATGTTCTCGCCGAACAATAATTGCCTTACAAATGAGTCTAGGGTTTGCATCAACCCGCCGATATGAACACACAGATAAAAGAAACTAGAGTAAAGATCCCAGATTGGGACCTTTGCGATGGCAGGATGGCCATGGTTGTGGCGTGAGTGAGGTGCTTGTGAAAACGTTCACAAGCAACTATTACACAGTGCATGATATTTTGGGCACTGCTGTGGCTCCTGCATCTTCTCCTGAATTTTATTATTTAACTCCAGCTACGTTTCCCGAGCCATTCGTTGTTTCAGTTGTTGAAACATGGAGTTGGGAGCCTGTGCTTGGGCGATGGAATGACGGAGGTAGTTATCAACTTTAGAATCTAAATTATGAAGCAAATCAAAAGTTATACAATGATAGATAGATACATAGATAGATAGATAGATAAAAAGAATGTTGAAATACTTTCCGAGCTATCAAACATTATCATGCTTCATCATATGTCCTTGGTTTCAAAATGAACTGCAGTGTTTCATGAGAATCGGCTTGTTGGCAGTGAGATATTGTTCTAGCTAATGCATGTGTCATGTATGTACGATCTAGAGCCTTTTAATTGTGATCAGAGGCACCAATACTTCATTTTCAGCTTTCTCTAAGAGCTGGGCTGCTGCAAGAATGATGCAGTTGTAGATTTGGTCTGCACGTAGATGTGGTGAATCTTACGTAAAGGTAATTGTTGTTGCAAGTTGTATTATTTGTTGCCAAAAGAATAGAAAATGGTAGAAGTGAATCGAGAACTGCATGACTTGTCTCATGTGTCTTGTAGACTCATTGTAGTAGAGCAACGATTGTTGGTATAATGATTGGCATGGTTGTTTATAGGTTGTTACATTTTTGTGCTCTTGGAGATCTTTTGGTGTTTATACTTTATTTTTGTGAAGGGAATCGAAGTACAATGAGAATATTATAACATTGTTTCAAATGGAAAGTTTTGATCAGTAAGATATTCAGAGTACCACAAACCATTTTGATCGATTGAAGCAGATTGTACAAGATTTGAGGGCAATTTGCAAAATCCAACTTCATTAAAACTGTTTCTTCATAATTGAGAGTGAAGTGCAGGATTTTGTTATTATTTACAACAATCACAAAAGTAACATAAATCTTATCTAAGGAATAAGTATAGTAAAGATGTCCAAAAGCATTTGAAGAAGTCAGAATATCACATAGCATCTTTGTAAGGTAAAAGCTTATTGGCATACAAGAAACTAAATGGAGATAACTTCTATTTACTGAATTCAACAACAGTGGATTTTTTATTGGACAAACTTGACTTATCAAACATTGGAAAAGGAAAATTATAAAACAACTCTTATAAAAACCTGAGATCCAGAAGTAGCAATACTCTTCAAAAAGTGCAGAATAATATGTACATAACAACACAGTAAAGCATCTCACAAAAGTATGGTGTGTAATTTTGCATATCTAATTATTCAAAATCATAGCAGAATATATATATATATATATATATATATATAATTGACTCATTTATAAGGCAATTATATATATAATGTAATATAATTTTTGTAATAAAAATTAAAGAAAAAAAATTACAAAAAAAATAATTGCAACAATAGTTCATCTTTATTAAGATATAAAAGACTTCAATTACCTTCAAATAGATTTATGTATATTAATATACACTTAGGATATATTTGTGTCCATTTAGATCATCAAATCACTTGCAATCTTAAATATATTATTTTAATTCTACTAGGTCTAAAGCTTTTCTTTGGACTTAGCTTTAGTTTGGAGAAGATGTATTATCACCAATGATAAATTTTCTTATTAAATATTAATTCGATAATATTTTTTTAGATATAATCTTTCTTATCTTAAAATTGATAAGTGTAGATAAATTTCTTATTAAGAAGAATTGTGCACTTACTAGTTTAAGTTGGATTGTATGTAACTTCATTTCAATAGAGTCTATAAGATTTGGACTTAGATTAAAATAAATAAATAAATAAATAAATAAATAAATAAAATAGTAAGTTAAAAAAATAGTTTATATTCATAGATGATTTAGAAAGAATTTATGTATCAACAACAATAGAATTAAAAACTTTTGACCTTATATTAGATACTTAATACTATCAAATTCTGCTTTCTCCATCTCTTTATATTCATATGTCCTAATCTTTTGTCCTTATGGTTACTTGTATAATTTTAATTAATTGTATATAACTAAATATATTTTTATTAATTTATTAAATTTATTCTAATTTGAACTTTAAGATATATATATATATATATATATATATATATATATATTTTTAACTTTAATATTTTTCACCTATCTTTTATTGTTCTAATCTTATCATTACAAATTCTAAAAGCAACAACATAGAAGTTGTGAAACAAAATAATGTGCAAAAATGCAACAAGGATTGAAACATAATAATTATATGTAAGGCCAAGAATAGAGCCATAAAAAGTGATTCAAAGAATTACATATTAAGCAATGATTAAGTATTATTTAATTAAGAGGTTTATACCACCATAGATGAATGATATTTTGTGGATTTAATCATAAAAAAGAGAAGGCATGGTATCACAAATATATATACTTATTTCAATATTTATCTATATGATTAAAAAGAAATATGTAAATATAGATTAATTTTATAATATCTTTTAAAGAAGCTTTTTAGAAGATTCATAAATATTATTTTGACTTCATATATGTTTGTAGTTGATTGATAGGTTAAAAACTTAGTCAACAAGTTAACCACATATCACATGTGTTAATAGCTTGTAGAATAAGCTAACAATGTCGCACACATAAAGATACCTTACTTTATAAGTTAAGACATGTCTCTATCAAAGTCAACACATGTTTGAGGTCCTATAGAAGATTGCTAGATAGCTTCTAATTAGAGAGTATATATAGAAGGAAGAGTGGAGTATTCTTTATTTTTGTCAACATTTTTTTAGTCTTTAGTCTTATTTCAAGATTTTCTAGTCTTCTTATCTTTAGCAATAGCCATTCTAGTTTAATATTATATCATCTTTGAGTGAATATTTAATCTTTTTGAATAACACAAGAATATCTTCAACTTTCAATTCTTCAAGATTCATGTCTTTGATGATTCGACAAGAGTATTAACTCATTGTTCATATCTTGTTTTAGAAGTGAGTGAAAATATCTACTTTTATTTTTATATTTTGAAGGTTGCAAATTATCTATCTTAAAATAAAATATTTAGTTTTTTAATACTATTTTTTTATAAAAAATAGTAAATTATTTCTATTTACACAAATTTTTATTTGATATTAGAAGTTATAAATTATCTTCTATTAATTTGATTTGTGGATTTGTTAAGTTATTTGAAATAAAAAATAAATAAAAATCATAGATGCTACATATAGCAAAAGTGAGAATAGATTTACAACTATTTCAAATCTTCACAAATTTATCAATATTCTTAGGATAAAAATTTCACACATTATTAGTGCTAACCTTGAAAATACTAATCCTACATCCATAGAATAAGTTCAAAATTTATGTCAAGAAGTTGTACAATTGAAGGAAGTAAGTAGATTGACTTCACAATCAAATTTAAGAATTTTTTCTTCTACAAATACAATAGAAATAAAGATTAGTATGCCCAAGAAGTTTGATGGAACAAGATTAAAATTTCAAGGATTATTGCAATAAGTCAAATTTTATCTAAGATTACATTCCTTCCAATATTCTAATGGATTTACTTAAGTTGAATTTATAAGTATATTTCTATCTAGAAGTGCTCTCTCTTGCTTTGCACCTTTGATAAAAAAAGAATATATAACTTTTTTATAATTTGAATTCATTTTTAGAAGTGTTTACTGCCACATTCAAAGAAAGTGATAAAAAAAGAGTAATAGACATTAAGTTCTTATCTTTATAACAAAAATCATGGTCAACTACTGTACATATTGTTAAATTCTAAAATCTTGCTTATAAAGTTTTCATATTTTAGTTTGGCTATCATGTGAAAATAATGTGTTTATATATTTAATATACAATATACTAGACAACATGGTGAAAACCATATTAGTGGATTTTTATTGATTATAGGATGTAGATAGATTACTATCCCGAAAAGAGATTATTTAAAAGGACTTCTATTAGAATTTATATAACTTTATTTTCTTTTGATAGTGACTTTTGAAGTTGATCTTATTAGTAGTAACTTTTAAATATTTAGAGTCACCCTTCTTAGACATAGATAACCCTTGAAGTTTTATTTTGGTTCTTTTATTTGATGTTTAAGACATATATTATGTAAATCTTATAAAAGAAAAAAGGCTTGGAGAAGGAACTTAGTAGAAAAAATGAGAAGTTAGGAAATCTATATAGATGAATGGAGATGGATGATAAAAATCTCCATTCCTATTGGCCAAAAATCATGTCCAATGTACTTTAAGGAGGCTGACTGAGGCCTTATTAGGGATTAAGATTACTCTTTTAAGGCCATTTGAGCTTTAAAGGCTAGGATCAGTAATTTTAGGTTTCTGGCTATGGTTTCAATACAAATTTTGTGTGATTTGGAGTTTATATGAAAGAGATATGAGCGCTGAAAGTGAAGGTATTGATTTTGTATCTACTGTCACTCTTTTGGACATAATGCACGTATACATAAAGTAATAAAGGATCAAAAACTAGAGTTGAAGAGAACCTTTTTTTTTACTATACTTTTGGCATATTATTTGATGGATTTTAAATTGGAATGAAGGCGATATTGGAAGTTGAAGTCAATGCTTCAAATCTAAGGGTAGTAAATAACCTGATTTACTAGTGGTTGTATTTTGAACTATATCTTCAGCAATTGGACAAGATTTTGGCTCAAAATTTTTTAGATTGTGTATAATCAAGTTAATAAATTTTATATATAAATTTTTTGGCATTTGAGTTTTGGATTTTTGAAATATGAAGAAAATAGTTTTCAAGTGCTTATAGATTAAGGTTTAAGACACCTACTAGGATTTCTAAGTTTCTAGAAGATCGGTAATAGATTTATAGTTTATTTTTTTTATATTAAAGCTTAAGAATAGAATCTAAGTTATATAGAAATTTGAAAAAAATTCAATAGTTGGATCAAGAGATATGAATTTCTAAAGTTCAACATAAAAATATCCTTTGCAAGAAGAAAATATTTTGAAGTATTTTGTTATAATTTGAGCTTTTGTAAAAAATAAAGGGATTTTTGAAAACTAAGACATCAGATATAAGCCAAAGCTAAACTTTCTATAGTTAGGTACCTAATATATTCCTAAATTATAAATCACACCATACAACAATATGGACTAGAATGACAAATTCCTCATAAACCAATTTTGATAAGAATTGAAAAATAATGTCAAAGAATTATTATTGATAATTCTAAAAGTAGAATATTTAAAATAATTTAATACTCAAGCCATTGAATGTGATAATTAATTATTTGAAAGGCATCAAGAACAAAGACTTAGCCAAAGAGGAACAACTCAAGTAGTGAC